TTGCCATTTTTGCAGCAATCTACTTCCATAGCGATACCACCTCGGAAACCCAAGGAGGGTTCGCTATTGAGTCAGATCCAACTCGATGGCAGTGAGTTTGGTTTTTGACAGCAGCTCACATACACTTTGTCTCATGACACTGACTACAATTTATCACAATGCAACAGCTCCCCTCCCACTTCCTTCCTCCCCATAGTTACCTCTTCGCTGTGTCCTCCCCTCCCATGCACTCCTGCCCCCCGAGCTCTCTCTCTGTGCATACACAGCCCTTCTATTCTCTTATGATTGATCTCTCCAAGGAGTGTATCTACCTATTGTAAATGTTTAGGTCACATGCCTGTCCTTTTTGGCTGGAACCCATAGGAGTGGGTTCAATTCCAGACCTCCAAGGCCGCTAGCTAGGGGCCATAGTCTCAGTGGTTCCATTAGGCTCTATCAGACTAGCAAAATTGGTCCCCTTTTTTGCCACCCCCAAATGATTTTGAGTTTTGTTCCACATTGTTCTCCCACTCTATCCAGGATCTCCTACACAGATCCCCCTCTGAGTGTTTGACAGTGGTAGTCGGGCACCATGTAGTTCTTCTGGTCTCATAGTCATATAGGCTGAGGATCGCATGGTATACCAGTCGCTTGGACTAATTGTTTCAATGAATCTTTGGTTTTCTTCATTCTTCTTTGCTCTGGATGAGGAGAGATGCATCGTTGCATCTAGATGGCTGCTTGCAAGTTTTTAAGATCCCAGTCGCTATTCGCCTAAGTAGTAGGTAGAATAATGTTTTGTGTAGTATGTTATGCCAATCGAGCTCGATGTCCCCTGCGACTATGGTCCCAAGCCATAGGTCTAACTACTTGCTCCCTTGAGGCAGCTGGCTGTGGCCAAGAAGTGACTACAACCTTGTCCTTTGTCAGCTGTATTATGTATCTGAGAATTCTTACAGAACATACCAATACACTTGTAGAAACATTGTCTGCCAACCTTATACCTGGTCTTGGGCACACTCCCCTCTGCATGGACACACCTAATAGTTCAGCCTGTCCACCTATCTATCTGCCCGTATATCAATGTGTGCCTTCACTGACAGCACTGTACTGTATGTGCAAAAGGGTTCATCTTCATTTACCTGAGGTAGATACACTCCTTAGAGAGAATAATCATGGCAGAAAGAAGGGCTGCTTATGCACCAGGAGACAGCTCAGGTGGCAGGAGAGCATGGAGTGATGGACACAGGGAAGAGGTAATTATTGGGAGGAAGTGGGACGGAAGCTGGTGCATTGTAGTTAATTGTGGTCAATGTCATGAGACAAAGTATATGTGAACTGCTGTATGGAAAATGAATTTCCTCTGTAAATCTTCACCCAAATCACAACTGATTGTTACCATCGCCCCCTGTGTTCTCTGTTTCATTCAATCACAGGTCCGCCATATATCTACCCAAATTTTGCGACAGACAGCAAACCAAATGATCCTTCAAGCCAAAGACCTGGAAGAGATTCCCTTGCGCTCATGGAGACCACCCAACTAATAAGATACCTTGGCCACGTAGGCTC